AGAGAGAGAGAGAGAGAGAGAGAGAGAGAGAGAGAGATTTCCTCAGCATACTATAGCACAACATATTTGAACAGCATGTGCATAGGAGCATAACAGAATATAATAAAGAATTCTGGTGTCTCTAGCGATTTTTATTTAAGAAAATTAAAATATTGACTTTCTCAGGGAGCGGGTGTGATTTCTCCTAACAGAGAGTGTCCCTCTCTGTTTTAGAGGGACTTGATTTATCTCTGTTTTTATCTACATGATAAAAAAGGCTTCTTTTTAACATGTAGAATTATTTATAGTGATACTCCGATTAGGATTTTTACAGATTCATTCAGGGCCTGAGTTTCATTTTTGAAAATGGGGTGAATTCCCCTCTTAGGTGACTCTTGTGAGAGGGAGGATTTATTTTTATTGTTTGTCCTGAAGCTTATCAGTAGTCTGGTATTGACCCAATTTTGCCAATTTTGCTACCTCCCATTAAAACAGATGGAAGCATAATTCGATAGCGAAAAGTGCTACCTATCAGATTTTGCTTCCAGCATGATATTAATACTGTGTGAGGCTTTATTAACATGTACACCTACCCCAACCCTAAACCTACCCTTACAGTAGGATAAATACAGTGTTGGTAGCTAATCTGGTTGGTAGCATTATTTGTCAGAACACCGGTTCTGGACTAGAAATTGCGTTCCGCGGGGGCCCATACACAAGTGGCTTGCTAAAATGTGGGTGACATTTAGTTAGAAATGGAATTGAACTGGCCACATACCACAGGAAGTTCAATTGTAATTTAAATAGAAATGTACTTGCAATAAAAAAAACACAGGCAATGCATAAATACTAAAACTGAAAAAAAAGAATGAAAAAATATATAAATCCTTTGGAGTTAATGGCTTAAAACCTTTGGCTTTCTGGAATGAAATTAATACTTTTATTCAACAAGAATGCATTCAATTGACATTTAGAATGCAACACAAGATTTCTACTTTAACTAATTGCTGTTCATTTGAACTTTATATTCATCATCCTTATGGTTTACACAGAAATATTATAGCAGCACAACAATTTTCAACGTTGATCATTTGGAAAGTTATTTTAAATTGTAATGTTATCATAATATTACTGTTTTCACAGTATTTTTGATCAAATAAAAGCAGCCTTAGTGAACAAGTGTGTCTTCACATACTTAGTATTTCTATTTAAACATTGCAGTCATATGAACTTTGAATTCCAATCATTTTAATACCACTTCCATTCAATATTCAAATTTCTGAAATTTAAATTCATCCTATTTGCTACCTCAATTCAAATTCATTTCAGTTAATTTCTGAAAAGCACACATGTACTTGATACCAACTTAATTTTTCTAAAAATGTGTGATGTTTCATATCTTTAAAAAGTTGGTCATAAACAAATTTATTTAAATATTATAATCAATTATAATTACTTATTATTTTATTAGTTATAAAAACCATTTAAAAAACATGATAAAACATTTAAACACAATAAAAACATTTTATTATACTTGATTGCAGGATCACATTCTGTTACTTACAGTAAATGGCAGATATCGTGTGGATTTTTATCATTAAGGCTTGCAGAAAGCATTTTGAGTTTGGTGCTATATTAACATTTCGTTTTACATTTCCCATAGAGAATTTTTGATTTACAGCACGATCAAACCAAGCAGTAAATATGTGCTAATTTTTTTCTTTGTGATCTGTCCAACATGGACAAAGTAATTAGTAATAATGGAGGGTCACTGTTCTGTAACTGAAACCCTCTTATAAAACAGCAATCCACTATTAAGTTTCATGTCAGCGTTTCAATTATTATAAGTGCACGCTTACAATTGCTCTGCTCTCAGTCCTGTTTGAGGTTTTGAAACATGGCCCTCGACATCCTTTGGCTGCAGTTGAACTGAGCATCATATCTTATCAAAATATCCTTCACGTCCATCTTGACTGGATCAGATGTCTATGCTTGGTTTAGATGCAGGTTAGTTGTTCAGAAGCTGGAGTTTATTATGCTATCACAGCTAAGATGATATTTTCATATAATCAATTTCTACCACCTTTTTAGTGTTATACTGTTGTGAATTAATATTACGTTTCTGTATTTGATGCATGAAAAACATAGCATGCAATGATGATGAACATTTTCTGTTGATGAATGTTTTTCTGTGATTGATTTATTTGTAGCTATATTTAGGTTACCACCAATGACTTTAACCAAAACAAAACCTTAAGGGCTTTTCTTGGAGATCAGCTTCAATCTGAAAACACGTTAATCTATGATTTACTGAACAAATTGTTCAAACTTAAAATAACTAATAACCAGGGCAAAGCTTGAATATATATTTAAAATGCCTTTATTTGAAGGCACATAAAAAGTCAAACGACACCTACAGAATACAAAACTGCACTTCAGTACAATACTAAAACTAAACAAGACTATTGCATAGATTTCTACAGCAAAAATGTGTCATTTAGTATCGGGTTCTGATAAATCAACACAATGTGTTTATATTTTTGGAAAGCAAATACAAATGCAAACCAGAAAACGACAATAGAAAAAAAGAAAAGAAAATTTGTACAGCAAAGTACACTTGCAAAGTGTACATGCTATCACATTCATTCAGTGCATTCATTACTCCACTAAACCTGGCCTCTGTCATCAAAGCTTATTAGTACCTGCTTTCCAAACACAATAAACAGTCTGTATGCATGCAGTATAACAGATTGCTATGGGGAAATTTTTTTTTTTTTTACATTTGCCAATTTGCTCATTCACATCCAGACCTAACGACAATTACAACCTCCATTAAGAATGTAAATAACTCACTTAATAATACAAGGCATTACAAATAACAACCACATTTGAAGTGCTACTTCAAATACATTCTGACCAGAACAAACGGTTATTACTACCCTTACTCTTACCGTCCATTGGTCTTTCTCATAGATAACAAGAACATTTACTTGGAGATGCATTTGAAAACACATTATACACATACAAACAATATTATTACAAACACATTTCTACAAATTGTCAAATATTCACGAGGATGATACTGAATGTCACATTTTCATCTGAATTTAAAAAAATCATTATTGTGCACTTATACTTAAGTACTCATATCTTCATCATTTGTTAAAGGACTTTTTTAGTTACAGTGATTAGAAAATAACTGTTTTCCATTTTCTTTGATTCCGAGCAGAAACTATTTTTGCATTCCAGTTCTGGTTTTCCAAGGCCTCCTTTCCAAATAGTAACCAATTAGATTGAAATACTAGAACGGTTAATAGCGTTCTTTTCAAATTGAGTTTGCTAATAAATTCTGAATCACTGTATCACTTTATTTAGAAAAAGGTGCAACTGTAACCGAAACACTGTCGTTATATACTTTTGACACAAGGATAAAGATGACTACTGTTGGATAGATAATGCTTGGAGTGATAACTAGATCTCTGGACTCTACTGAAGACTCAAATCTTTGATGTTTCCTACTGATATTATGACAAGATGTTGAAAATTTGCTAAGTGACTGATTAGAAAAGTGCCGGTTGGAGCAAGAATACAACAGCTGAAATAATACAATCTGAACCTGCTACTACACCATACAACCCACATCTGTGATATCCTGCTCTGCACCCCTTACAGAGTCCACCAGTGAGTCCACTGGTGTCTCCTCGCTGTTTCCGGAGTTCTGGAGGATAAGCTGCAATCTCGTCCAGACTTTGGGATCTCCACTACATATGGCCTCCAAGAAGAGGTCAGTCTGAGCCTGCAGACTCTGAAGCTGGGCCTGGGAACGTTCATTTTGTCGAATAAGTTCCTTTGTGCGCAGTGTGATACCCAGCAGTCCTGACCGATTCAAAATGTTATACGTGTTGCAGAAGCGTTTGCGTTTGCTGGAGCTTGGAGAAAGGGCCTCTGGGATATTCTCCACATCACTGCTCTGGGTGACTGAAGCTTCGGGACTCTTTTGAGGGAATGAAGCGAGGAAGGAGTCAGTGCACAGTGAGAATGGTGAAGTGGTGGTGTGGGGATCCTGAAGGTCAGAAAGCCTGGATGAAGAGTCTTTCACAGCTACGTCTTCAACAGCGTGACCGATTTCTCCCAAAGAAGCAATGTTGGGGTCTACATCGTAATCTTTAAATGTCTCGGACACATCCTGTTTCAAAGAGGAAGTGTGGAAAGGTTTTTCATCATAACGGCGTCGTTGATGTCTTCCAGCATGACTGTGGTTTGACCTCTTATTGATAGCACTGGGACCTTCGTCGACTGTAGACCCTTGTGCAAGATGTGGGAACATTTTTGGAAAGGTGTTTTGCATGGGAACATGCTTTCTGGAATGTTTCTGCTTGTCAGAGCTTTGGCCGGTACAGTCACCAGCTGGCATGACTGGTTGTAGGAAAAGCAGCTGGGACTGAGGAACCACATCTAGTGAAGTGTTTAAGCCCCAAGGTTTTAATGCAGGGGCCACGGAGTTACGCTGAAACAAGAATTATCAATGAACATTTTTGTAAAACAGACACATACTCTTTAGTTCTCATTCACAATAACAGGAGGAGTCAACAACGAGTCACATGTTTTTTGGTTTTATTCAATAATAGATTCAATTAATAGTTTGTAATGTCTGAATTAAAATGTATTTATTAAAATGGATTATTTTAGGGGGACACGCAAGTCAAAAATGTCAAGGTGATGCAACTGTCTTGGTATCAAAACCAGATCCTCATGTTTGTGTGTCAAATTATTTTTTTTTAAACAACATATTTGACTTTTGGCAAAGTTAGTTCAGGTTGTAATATGTCATAGGGTGACAATTATATTTATGAATTAATAAATCATAATATTGGCACTAAAAATGATATCAATATATACAGTATATATATATCGCAATGATATCACATCTTGTGTGTATGGAAAACAGCTGTACACACAAGAGGCAATATCGAGCGTGATCAAAGCCTGTCTCCTATTGCGTATCACAGAAACATTTAATTATCCACACCAATAAATTAAATTAAGTTCGTTGAGGAAACGTGTTGTGAAATATCTCACCTTATATCAATATCCCAACTGAAAGGGTAGGGAAAACCTGCTTTAAAGGGTAATTCAAATGCCTTTTCGCTATGAATAAATCACGGTTTTTAATATAGATTTAATGAAAATTAATATTTGATGCATATAATATTAGAAACACATTTTTTGTCTACTTTGAGTAAGGTACATAAAAACACGTAGATCAGTTGAAATCATTTACAGACGTCCTATACAGCTTATTGTCGGTTAATATTTTGTGAGCCAAAGATGCTGAGCAGAAAGCACTGGGAAGTATTCAATCCAAGAATCGCAAGGCAAATGTCTGTAATGTGCTATAACTACCAACAAATTTAGTAAACATAGCTTTGAGATCAAAACAATACCGTAACTGCAACAAACAGTTATGTGTCATGAGCTAAAGCTTTTCCAGAAAAGCAACATAAAGAGACAAGGAGACTTACAGAAATGTGGCATACCTGCTTGAGAACAAGGTTGTTCATTACGAGCATGGGAGAGATGCCTGGATGTGAGCCAGGAATGAAAGGCACCCGAGGAGCTGCCGGCATGCTTTGTGCTGCAGTACTGGTTGGTCCTATGTCTTCAAATTCTGTCTGGTCCAAAGCACTATAATATCCTGAGCTGGCATCTACAGTGAGAAAATATTGTAATATGGTAAGGGTAAAACCCAGTAATTATGTGCAGTTATACACCTATAACAATGTAATTATAGACAATATTGTATAAATATAATCAGTAATGGGGGATTAGTAATAATCATACCAAAGCATGAGAGAAAATGCCTGGATGTGAGCCAGGAATGAAAGGCACCCGAGGAGCTGCCGGCATGCTTTGTGCTGCAGTACTGGTTGGTCCTATGTCTTCAAATTCTGTCTGGTCCAAAGCACTATAATATCCTGAGCTGGCATCTACAGTGAGAAAATATTGTAATATGGTAAAGGTAAAACCCAGTAATTATGTGCAGTTATACACCTATAACAATGTAATTATACACAATATTGTATAAATATAATCAGTAATGGGGGATTAGTAATAATCATACCAAAGCATGAGAGAAAGACAAGTACTGTCACCATATTTAGCATAAAACCATAATACTTACACAGAAAAAAAACACACGGGCTGTGAAATCTACTTTCTCATGTAAGCTGAGAAATGAATAATACACAACCGAACACAAATCTATAAACGACAAACCTGAATCTCTGTCGATCTCACTGGAGGCTTTCCGTTTGTTGCCCATGTTGGATCTTCTCTGGTGGTCCGATTTGTTGGATTTCAGTCCATCGGTACAGCCCTGATCCAGGCAATGACTGAGAGCTGGACAGAGTCATGGATTAAATAAAGGAGAGTCCAAAACCTGAAAGATGATCTAGTGTAACATGAGCACATTTGAGACTCAAGCCAATGAAATGCAGCTCCTACTCACTTATAGACCAAATACAGGGTTTATCACACCCAAAAAAACACACTTTATCATGAATTAGCAAATATTACTATGCAAAGTTTCTCATAGTAAACAAACAGCCCATGAATGAATCATAAGCAGAGACTGAGAGAGTGCTATGAAAACAAGTAAACAAGTCCACGAATATAAGTGCTAGTCTTATGCACCCTCATACAGAAACATCTTAACATCTCAAAATACAACTTGGCAGCCACAGAGGCACCTTGTTTTAGATCTTGTATTGAATAGTGTGTACATACAGCATGAACGGAGTCTGAATGTCGCGTACTGCAGCACCTGACACACGGTGCCAAACACGAGACTCTCCCATAAACACACACTACAGCACAAAATGCACGTTTTTCCTTACTTACCGAGAACAATTCTCCTCAAACTCCTTCTGCTGTTAAGGCTTGTGTATGAAATGACGCTTGACGAGAGAAAACCAAGCGTATGTTTCTGTTGTTTTGGAAACTGGATGGCACAGAGAGCAACGTGAGTTTACAAACAGCTCCGCCTTCTCGGCTGCCTTAAGTGGCTGTTACCAGGGGAACCGCCGAATCGTCGCTTGCTTAACTATGCAAGATCCGCCTTATATTTGCATAGCGCCTTCTGATTGGTGCGGAGATGAACCCTTGCGACTGTAAACGTGACTCTGAAGTGTGGCGTGAAATCTGCACTGCAGCGTCAAGAGGGAATCCAGCACGCGCCGCAGCGTCATCCTCTCCATCCCATAATTTTTAATGTATAAAAAATGTAGTTCACAGAATGAAAGCCACGTAACAAACAAAACTGTTGTTGTTTTCTACGCAATTCAAACGTCAATGACACGCCTGAAGTGTGGCGTGAAATCTGCACTGCAGCGTCAAGAGGGAATCTAGCACGCGCCGCAGCGTCATCCTCTCCATCCCATAATTTTTAATGTATAAAAAATGTAGTTCACAGAATGAAAGCCACGTAACAAACAAAACTGTTGTTGTTTTCTACGCAATTCAAACGTCAATGACACGCAAAAAGTTTGCTTCACAATTATATATATATATATATGTATGTATGTATGTATGTATATATATATGTATGAATGTATGTATGTATATATATGTGTATGTATGTATGTATATATATATATATATTTATATATATATATATATACATAGAATTATTATTATTATATTACAATTATTTATATATATACAATTTGAACCACATCTTTTTATTTACTTATTTATTTGCCATGTCCACAAGTGCTGTAAATTTTAAAACAAATTTATTAAGAAATATTAGGTGTTCCTCCTTTCTGAATGTGTCCAGATGGCCCTGAATTCACTTGGAAACTGATCCTTAAGATCTTTGCTTTCATAGTCAATGGAAATATTAAACACAAATGAATTTCCACATGCCCTAAAGTCCATCGATTTAGGCAAAGTGCAACAACCACAGAACTGCCCTCCCAACAGGCTCAGAAAAGTCTCTTGAGCAGGCCTATCTTCACTAGAACTCTAACCCCGACTAAAACGACATCAGTTCTACTATTCATTGCCAAAATATATATTGCATTAAAATGGAAATCATATACATCAAATCAATGTGAACACTGGATACACGAAAAGACCAAAACCTAAGAAACACAAACATCATTCTAAAAACGTTTCATTGGGTTTACTTACTGTTTTATTGCATTTCTTGACTACATGACACTAGACTTTCCAATTCCCCTTAAAAAGAAACACTTATGCTTTAGTTTACTACTGAAATCAAATGGGATGTTATTAAACTGACTTTTAAACCGTATTTTAAATTCGATTTATGTTAACTGTAATGTTCAATATTTATGTTAATTGTATGTCATTATGCAATTAACACAAAGATATCGCCAACTATATTCATCTCGTACCTCGAGAGAGTAATGGACTCGGTAAGAGACAATGACACAGGAATATCAGTCCATGGGTACAAGATCAACAACCTCAAATTTGCAGATGACATTGATCTTCTGGAGCAGGATAGAGTTGAATTACAAGGAAATCTGGATCGGATGAATGAAGCAGGAGAGGCCGCAGGATTAAAGATCAACATTGAAAAGACAATGACAATGGTGTTTGGACAAGAGGACATAGAAGAGGAACTGGAGATTAGGGGCAGAAGTATTGAAAATGAGTTTGTGTATCTGGGTAGTCTACTGACCTGGGACAACGATTGTAACAAGGAGATCAAAAGGAGAATAGCGAGGGCAACGGGAGTAATGGCAGGGTTCAAGACAATATGGAACAGTAAGCATATCAGAACAGAGACCAAAATCAGCATAATCAGGACATGTGTGATGAGTGTGTTGCTGTATGCTTGTGAGACGTGGACATTGAGGAAGAAAGACAAAGATTTATTGCGGGCGTTTGAAATTAAGTGCTACAGGAGAATCTTGCACATTCACTGGCATCAGAAAATCACAAACGTGGAGGTGCAAAGACGAGTTGGAAACACGAGGAACATCGTACAACTCATCATGGAGAGGAAGCTCTGCCTGTTTGGACATATCTGCAGGATGGAGGACAAGCGACTGGTGAAGTGTGTGGTGTTTGGGATCATGGATGGACGGACACGGAGAGGAAGACCGAGTAGGGAGTGGTTAGATGACATCAAAGAATGGTGTCAGAGGGACATCCACTCTCTTAGCAGGATGGCACAGGACCGTGCACAGTGGAAATGGAGTGTCAGACGGGCATTGGACACCAAACGGGCGTGAGCCCATGGAATGATGGATGGATGGATGCAATTAATAAAGTGAAACCTTAGTAAGTTTTGTATATGACATAAATCATAGACAAAAACCCATTCCATTCTTTGACCAAAATCACACACGCACACACAGGCCAAGTGTTTCAGAAAATATTTTTTTAATAATTATCAGAAATAACAAACAATAGTCACTCTATTACGAAAGGTACTCTTAAAGTTGTATAATATTAATACATATTAACAATATTTTGAAAAACATACAACATTTTATACATTGGGAATTAAATAGCCCTTTGGTGAAAACTATTGTATTTATATTTAGGGTCAGCAGCATAGATATTAATGCTTCTTTGGTTTAATTTCGACACTTTATAGACCCGAGTCTAAAGTGTGGGAAATTCAGTCATTTTCACTGACAAAACAATAATACAAAGCACCAACATTCACTCACATCGTGATGAACGTCTGTCTCGGTTCCTGTTGACTGGCCCTTTCAGAGCAAAGTCTTTGTCCTTACACAGTGCACACTTTTATTTTTGCCACAGTTGAAATATTATAGTAATATATATCATAATGGGATGGCTTTCAGATCAGTATTATTTGAAAAACACTTACTGAACGTGATTATTTTATTATCACCACTAGAGGTCAGTATGTCAATTTAATGCTGAAGTCACAGAGAAGCTTTAGAACAGGGGTGCCCAAGCTCGGTCCTGGAGGGCCGGTGTCCCGCAGACTTTAGCTCCAACCCCAATTAAACACACCTGAACCAGCTAATCAAGCTCTTATTAGGCATACTAGAAACTTCCCGGCAGGTGTGTTGAGGCAAGTCAGAGCTAAACTTTGCAGGACACCGGCCCTCCAGGACCGAGTTTGGACACCCCTGCTTTAGAACGTCAACAGAAAATACTATGTATTAAAAATCTTCTAAGACGGTTTTCACATTAGTAAATTGTAATATAGTCATAGCATAGCAGTAATATAGAATCTAAAGAGATGATATTTGGCATTTTGTTCTGTGCTTCCTTCTAGATTTATGACCAAATACACAATGGCTTTGTAAATGTATTGATTAATGATGGAATGCACCAGTTTTACTTCAGTGGATTTTAATAAATAAAAGGGGAAGACTTGGCAGCTAAACCAGTACTACCACTAATATTACTTTATGACTTTCACTACTACTATTATAAAACAATAAAATAATAATAATATAATAACATAAGTCCCTAGGGGATTATTCAGTCTCGGATTTTAGGTTTGGTCTTCGGTTGTTTTTCTTCTGTAGAGAGCTGCACAACAGGAGATTCCTGTATAGATGACTGGAAGGCCCTCCGTGTGCTGACAGAAGCCCCATCACCATATCAACTCTGCATCTGGGATGGTGGCAGTATCCATAAGTGAATGATGGTGACGGTGAGGGTCGCACAGAAGGGGGCAGATGCGCGCGATTGGCTGGCATCACGGCGAGACAGCATTTACCTACGGGGAGGCTGACACCTGTAAGAGAGCACAAATTAATACATGTGTGCCGCTTACGCTCAGAGAACAATGCACTCTTTGTACTCTGTGTCCTTTAAGTACATCAAAAACCCCTGCTCTTATCAAAATGTCACTGAAATGTTGAGACTTCATTACAGCTTTGTTTCAGAACCTAGAGGGACGAGGTTCCTCATGGGGTTATATATGAACTAACTGGTTTTAATTGCAAAAGTTTATATGACTGAATCAACCAGACTACATTAGTGGGCATCATTAAACTTCAAAAGGGGCCTCAAGATTACTTGAAATTATTTAAAATAAAGTCAAAACAAACATTAGGATTATAGCTAAAATGACTAAAGATATTTCCTATTTTACCCTCTCTTAAGTTTCTTAAAGTTTTTTTTTGGAACTCACAATAAAATTGTGACTAGACTTGGAAAAGTCATCTAAACTGATAAAATATTATAAAACTATTTTTAAACATTTTATGCATATACTTTCTTTTCCTAACTATGCCAAGCTATTATTTTATTACGCGTTGTGAGATGTGTACATCACAGAGAACTAGAAGCCTTTAAATATTGCTCTGGACAATGAGGGCCTTTAAAAAGGACAATAACATTTTTAAGGGTCAGGTCAAGTAGAGGTTAATTTTTACAAAAAAAAAAATTCGGTAATACTTTAGTTTAGGGACCAATACTCACTATTAACTAGTTGCTTATTACTATATATTACTATTAGCATGCATATTACTAGCATATCAGCTGTTTATTAGTGCTTATAATTTAAGCACATATGCATAATATATGTATATATTTAAGCACATACGCATGACCATATTCTACATCCTACATAATAACTAACTTAAGAACTACCGTATTAAGCAGTAATTAGGAGTTTGAGGCAAAAGTCGTAGTTAATAGTTAATTAATAGTGAGAACTGGACCTTAAAATAAAGTGTGACCAAAAAAATGAATCAAATATGGCAGATGCTGATAACAAATATTTTTAGATTTTTTTAAACTAAACTTAAATATTTAAGTTTAGTTCAAAATGAGTTCAGTCCTCTTAAAAATAGACAGTTACTTAATTTCTGAGTGTATTTTGTGATTATCTATGCGTATTAGAGTATTGAATTGTTAGCTTAGCAACATGCCAATGTAAAACCATCAATATTTAACTTACGTGTCACAATCTTTCCCTCTCTTTTTCTCCTTCCTTTTTCTTCCTCTGTTTCTGGGTTTCAATCTACAACAAAATGAACCATCATTGTAATTTCAATTTGTTTGTCTACTAAAGTGTAACTGTGTCAGAGTAGTAACTTTTTACCTGTCTTGTTTCTTTGTAGGTTTTCTTAGTCTCGGCATCACAATGTAAGAGAAAGCAGAGAGAAAAGCGGAGAGACTATTACGAACATATTTCTCGTACTTGATACAAATTTTATGTTCAATATTCATATCTAATATCAATACAAAGCTGTGTCACAATGCAAAACATGTGGTTGCATGAACAAAATCGATCTCTTCCTTACCTACATTCACAGGCTTTGTGCTCCACAAAGGTCATCTCCACATATTCCTGGCCCTGCTCCGCTGGCTTAATCTTTAATAACTGAAAAATTCATAATATTAACTATAGCAACCATGTGCCTGACACAGACAAAACAAAGTCTCCTACACAGATATTACTTTAGTGAAAAAGCATCCAAAGTAAAAGTCCAAACAGTCGATATATAAAAGTATGAGCTAGTATTCATAATTATTGGTACCATCTTTTGTGCTACTTTTGAAACAGAAAATATTGTTGGCCTTGACGAATGAAAAATCCTTACTTGCATGGTGGTGTTAGAAGTAAGTGTAGGGTGACACTCCAGATTCTCATCTCCACAGCAACCAGCGCAGCGGACCAATGGCACGCAGGCAGGGCTGAAAATGTGCTCCACCTCCCCAGGGTACTCCTGAACCACTTCCACTAGCTTCTCTACAGTGCGGCAGAAGCTTTTCCCCCAAACCTCTTGAAACAGCATCACTGCAACACAGCAAGAGAAATACAAGGCATTGACCTTTACAAGTGTGCATGAATATACAAGAAGAAATTACTGAGTATTTGGAAGCAATCACCGAGCAAACTATGAACTGATTAGTGAGTGTGAGACTTATCAAAATGCTAGTAACTCATTTGAGATGAGATTACTATATCTATATGCCACATGATCCACATTCAACAATAACTCTGTTATGACAATTCTGGGAGAGTTTAACATGGTACTATACTTGGCAATGTTAAGGTGTCTGGTCTTGGCGGAATAGATCTGCTACGCGGCTTGCTACTTGCTACTGCCAATACATCCACAACATGCTGCTGTGAGCATGTAAGAAATACTGCTGCTGCACATATAATATAAAAAATAACCCCCATTTATAGCATACATGAAATCACTCTGTAGCAGATCTACACAAGTGGAGCTGGGGAAGGTGGAGGGTTTCTGAAGCTGAGCAGCAATCTCATTGGCTGCTGATGTGAAAGAAACCAATCAGCTGTGCCATGTGAATAATCGTGTGATTGTATCAGACTGGGTTAGAACCTATCGGGCCTGTGCCATCCAGAGTTTCATGACAGAAATTTGTATTAATGTGCCTCATTAGACTCATAGTTCTCATTAGAATCATACCTATAGCTACTAAAAGTCCAAACCTCATAATCAAAACATTTTTGTCCTTATTTCTCAAGGCAAATGTATATATGATCCATCTTTACCTATGCAGAAATGTACAAATAATATAGATTTTCTTTACATAGTTTGATTTCCGAAATCTCTGGGAAAATGCAACAGGAAAAACCTCTGCTGTGCGTGTGTGCATATCCTGTTTTTCATTTATCAGGATTTCACACAAAAAAAATAAAACGTCCTATGGGATCTTGCAGAGAATGGTTCTTTATTACCAATTTTGGCTTCTTATTGCCATATTACTCTTATTATTGAGTAAGTGTAAGTTTCTCATTTTACGTTTGAAATAAAGAGACTATAAATATTTATCTGGCAGCATATTTGTTTCAAAAATAGCCAAAAGAGCTCTGCTTAATAAATAACACATGGCAAGTAAAATGACTTTGTAGGTTTTAATATAATGTACAGTCTCTTTTGTACAGTTCCTGCTGTAAAATATCAATTTCTCATGTGTGTCTGATCCTCATAACAAGACAAAAAAAAAAGTAAAACAGAGAAAAATAGATGGAAAAAAACTCGTAGTTGAGTCGTAGTTGCTGTAAACTTTGAACACACACTGATGTATATAAGACTGCATTTGTTATGTTTTATGTCATGAGGTCATTCTCTTACCTTTAGCAGTGTTGTTTACGTTTACTAAGGAAGAACTCTGCAAAAAAGAGTGTAAAAAGAGACAGATTATAAAATAGTCTCAATAAAAGTATAAACAAAGGCCATGATAAATAAAAAAATTATATTATTATTATTATTAGTAGTAGTAGTAGTAGTATTGATATTATTATTATTATTAATAAGCCTAAAGAAAAGTAATTGTTATTTTAATAAATAAGAAGAAAATGAAGAAGCAGCAAGAAATTGACAACAGAAGGTTGGTGATACATGAGTACAAGTGACATCTTCAACCAAGAACATTATATAGTTAAATTTGACATAATTTAAACAAATTAATGATATTTGTGGTAAGTAAATAAATACACTATAATTTAGAAACATAGACCTTGCACCTGCACCAGTGTTAATTTTTATTTAGTTTTAGTCATAGTCTTTTGACTAAAATGCCATTTAGTTTTAGTCATATTTTAGTCATCTGAATTTTTTTTTGTTTTAGTCGACTAAATATCATAAGATTTTAGTCGACTAAATCTACAGTAAATTTAGTTGGCTAAAATCTAATGGGTTTAGTTACAGTGCATTCATTAAGCATTTCTCTAAAATTTCCAAACTCATTATATAGGTTTGATATTAAGGTTTTATAATGATAGACACCGATTTAACTGCAGTGACACACAACATGCCTTTATGTTAAAATTAAATAAAACCACTTCTCATAGAGAACAAGAACATGGTCTTCTTTTTAATGAAATGCCAATGGTTATATAGGCTAATTATGCATTCTTTATAGCAACTCGTTTACCATATTCTTCATTCTTTCAAGCAGACATATTTATTTCTATAAATAAATTTAGATGAATCTTTAGGGCTACTAAAGTTTTTCAGTCAAGAGCAGTGCGTTATTTTCTGTCTTTCTGTTGTTGCTTGATTAACATCAATGACTCGACAAAATAAACTAAATTAGGCTGCTGTCCCTTTAAAACCGAATGCACCGCTGCAATGGATGCAATGTACTGACACACGTTCTCCCTACTGTTTACGTTCACTTAAGACGTAATCAACTGTGTTTACGTGAATACTTGTCAAAACTGACAATTCAACATCATTTTGTGTGTAATTCTCCGTTCATGTGAAGCGAAAGAGTACTCGCGCGCTGTGAGACGCGCTCTCAGTGTGTGTATGCTTCAGTGTCTGCGCTCAGAAAACCAGACTGAAATTAGTTCCCTCTCATAGGCTCACTTCGATGCTGCGATGACGTCATCGCTTGAAGCCCTTATACCATCACGCCAATTCATTGGTCAAATAGCGCTTAGCACCACCCCCAAAGCGCACGTAGGTGAGCTATATCAGCGTGCTGTGCGCTATTTCATCAGATTTCATTTCCTTCAGGAAGTGAATCATCTGTCGCCTGTAGGAAAGCGTTCTTTTTGTCGTGTTCTTAGCTAATTCCTTCGAAAGAACAGTTTACTCCTTTACTCCTTCAGCGGACACGATGAGCTACAGACAATTCAACATCATTTTGTGTGTAATTCTCCGTTCATGTGAAGCGAAAGAGTACTCGCGCGCTGTGAGACGCGCTCTCAGTGTGTGTATGCTTCAGTGTCTGCGCTCAGAAAACCAGACTGAAATTAGTTCCCTCTCATAGGCTCACTTCGATGCTGCGATGACGTCATCGCTTGAAGCCCTTATACCATCACGCCAATTCATTGGTCAAATAGCGCTTAGCACCACCCCCAAAGCGCACGTAGGTGAGCTATATCAGCGTGCTGTGCGCTATTTCATCAGATTTAATTTCCTTCAGGAAGTGAATCATCTGCCGCCTGTAGGAAAGCGTTCTTTTTGTCGTGTTCTTAGCTAATTCCTTCGAAAGAACAGTTTACTCCTTTACTCCTTCAGCGGACACGATGAGCTACAGGAGATGCATCGAGCCATGTGACAGGTTTATCGCAGGAGGAGACATTCATGACAGGTGCGTGCAATGTTTGGGCCTACAACACGCTCAAGCGGCGCTTAGCGGCCTATATGATTGTCGACACTGTGATAGCCTACGGCTAAAAGCATTGCGCTCGAGGTTCGCGGCCTTCTTGAATAAAGTAGGCCTTGCGTCTAACCCTCGCTATCCTGTTTCTGCAGTTGCCGAGGCGCCACACGAGACGGTCGCTTGGGGTGATGCATGCGAGCCGAGGCGCTTAGAGGGTGAGTCAACGGAGTTCTCTCCTTTTCTCTCGTTCTCTCCAAGCCATGTGCAAGCGCTCGAAGAGCGCATACGGGGATCCCGAGGTCTTTGTCAATGATAAATTGCGGCCTACCCCAGAAGCTTGTGATGCGATGTCTTTCGGTTGTATGCCGTATGACGAAGCCGTGCTGTCAACAGCGGCCTCCGATTCAGAGGATTTATTGGGTGAAGTGTGCAGTTCTCTCCTTTCAAGTGGACAGGAGAAACGCACCTCCCCGTCTTACAGCGAACTATTAGACATTGTAACGCCCGCTGTGGATAAGCTGGGCTTAGAGTGGGATAGCGAGCCGGCACAAAATCAGATCCAGTCGAAACTGGCTGATCGATTTTTGTCTAACCGCACTCCGTCTCAGCCCCGTAGGCCTCTCCCCTTCTTCCAAGACCTCCACCACGAGGTTTCGAGGTCTTGGAAACAACCTTTTTCGGCGCGCATCACTAATCCCGCTGCTGCTGATTTCGCCACTGTTTCTAAAATGGCGGATCACGGCTATGCGGCGATACCGGCCGTAGAAGAGACTCTCGCAGCACATCTCGCGCCAAATTCCGCTCCGTCTTGGAAGTCACGCCCTCTGTTGCCATCCAAGCCATGTAGGATTACGTCCACTTTAATCTGAAAATCTTACATGGTCGCTGGGCAGGCCACAGCTACACTCCATTCTATGGGTGTACTCCAGGCTTATCAGGCAGATGTGCTCAAGGAGCTGGACGAGGGAGAGGGCCTGACCCCAGAGGTCACAACTGTCGTGGAGAAGTTTCGAGCAGCAAAACAGCAGTCCACCGTGTTTCGTCAGCTCATCCCGTGCAGGGCTAGGGAAGTAGAGCGTCAGCCACCTGCGGCTCGTACACACTCATCCTCTTTGCAGCACACTCGCGAGGTCCAGCGGCATGAGCCGTCACCTAAGTTACCCCCTCGTAAGGACTGGGGTCCTAGGTCTCGCCCACCTGCTCACCCATGGCAACGCAAGCGGTTAGACCGGAGTTTGACGGCCAATGCCTCTTGTTCTCAGGCTCCTAACAGCAGTTCCTGATTCCTCTACTCGTCTTCGGAGGCCAGGCACACCGCACAAGCGTATTCGCCTCTCTCGTTGTGGCCTCCTGACTCAGATCTTGACGGTCCCGTCACATATTGTGCCTCGGGCAGTTTTAGGTAGAGTCCTTACGACGAGCACCCCCTCAGATACTCTGCGTGTTCCAGCCTTCAGAGTTCGAGAGAAAGCCCAAGGGTCATGCGAACATGGCCCGTTTAAGACGGCCTTCAAAGCTCCCACTTTTGGGGTGGGGGGCAGGCCCGACAGGACAATCGGACATCTTCCCATTATAGTTTTTTCCGCCACTCAGGTGCTCCAGGACCCTATACGGGAGAATCAGGTGAACGTTCCAACCGTAGAACATCTAGACCCCCTGGCAGACTATTGGGCCATGTGGAGATGCCTGCCCGATGTCTCACGATGGGTACTAAGCACCGTTCGACACGGTTACACCATCCAGTTTCAGAAAGGGCCACCTCCTTTCAGCGGGGTTCTTCCTATGACGGTACGTCCTGGGGAGGCCTCGATTTTAAGTCAGGAGATTGTGTCACTCCTAGAGAAAGGGGCTATAGAGGAGATACTCCCCACTGCAAGTTCAAGATGTTAACAGTAAAGTCCACTGTCTCAGGTCCAATCCAAAGATTGGTTTGTAACCATCGATCTAAAGGATGCATACTTTCACATCCAGATTGTCAAGAGGCACAGGCAGTTCCTCAGGTTTGCTTTCGAGGGCAAAGCGTACCAATATTGTGTTTTTCCGTTCGGACTAGCTTTGGCTCCTTGAACGTTTACAAAATGTATGGACGCAGCTCTGGCCCCGTTGCGGCTCCAGGGCGTCCGAATTTTGAACTACCTGGACGATTGACTAATATTAGCTCAATCTCAGGAGCAGGCATGGATACATCGAGATCTGGTACTCGATCATCTGAGGAGTTTAGGATTACGGACGAACCTACAAAAGAGTGTCCTGCTGCCGTGTCAGCAAATGACCTTTTTGGGGGTGGACTTGGACTCTTGCACGATGCGGGCACGACTGTCTCCTTCTTTGGCCTATGAGGCGCATGGCTTGACTTTGCCTATAGGGGTGCGTGCTCATTCTACAAAAGCAGTGGCTTCTTCTCAGGCCTTCTTCAAAGGGTCCTCGATGGAAGATGTTTGTGCTGCGGCAGGATGGTCCTCTCCTAGCACCTTCATCAAGTTTTACAGTCTGGACGTGAGGATGGCTCCTGGCTCCCAGGTCTTATCCGCTTGAGCAGCCACTTTCCTTGGTCTTCCAGCTATCTATGGTACGTCAGGCGTTATGGTATAGCATTCACAAAGCGATGACATCATCGCAGCATCGAAGTGAGCCTATGAGAGGGAACAGCTCGGTTACGTATGTAACCTTGGTTCCCTGAATAGGGGAACGAGATGCTGCGATGCTGGGCTGTTCCGTACCTTGATAGCGCTTCCTTCGTAAATCAGTGGAAATCTGATAAAATAGCATGCAGCACGCTGATATAGCTCACCTACGTGCACATTGGGGGCGGTGCTAAGCGCTATTTGGCCAATGAATTGGCGTGATGGTATAAGGGCTTCAGACATTCATCACACCAAAGGTGTTCCCAAAGCGATGATGTCATCGCAGCATCTCGTTCCCCTATTCAGGGAACCAAGGTTACATACGTAACCGAGATGTTCTCTCTTGCGTCGTCAGATTTATCCATATGTCTGCTCTTCTCTTACTCCCACATATTGACATTTTTGAACGTTTTATGCGACGGGCAGCAAGTG